TTCCTGCTGCAAGCAAAGTTCTGGCTCCACCAGTTTGTCACTCTCCTGATTTCCACTGGGCTGAATATACAAAGCTGAAGGATTCAGCTCCTTGAATCCCTAGGAACAAAGGAAAAAAACCCTCCAGTATAGTCAAGAAAATCATGCTGTAACTACCACAAAGAATTAGAAGGATGCAGCAAATTTCTAAAAGGTTTAATGAAGAAGCACACCACACACAAGTTAGTGCCAGAACATCTCTGCTGCATCATCAGATTCCACCTTAGCCAAAAAAAAAGCTTTCACCATGGAGTTAGACACTGTGGGATGCAGTCACAAAATGGTAAGACACAGGAAAGCAGGGGAGACTAGTTCTGCTCTTCACAAAACCATCTGCTTCAAGCTAAAGATCTTCCCACTACAGGCACCCAACTGATGCTTTCCCTGCCCTTCTTTTCAGCAGCACAGGCCTTCCCCTCCTGACCTGGGAAGGAATGTTCTCTCTGCAGACCTCTGCACATCCCCCATCCCTCAGGACACTGTGGAAGTAGACATCCTCCTTGGTAGATGTGTCACACAGGAAGAGATGCAAAATGCCATTCACGTATTCATCCACGATGCCCACAAGTAGCTTGGAGTTACACAGCTTCTTGAACAGGAGAGTGGCTGCACTGGACCATGTACCCTGAAGAAAGAACAAGAATGTAAAGTTACTAAGAACAGACCAACATTCACTGCCTGAGACTTTCCCTCCTGGGAATTTATCAAAAAAAGGCAATTAAGCTTGTCAGGCCAGGGACAAACCCAGGAAAGTCAGGCAGAAGAGCTTCCTAGCACTGAACTACATCCAACTACCCCAGTGCCAGTTACACTGGAAATTCCCTTTCTTCCAAATACTTATTTCCAATGCACAATTCCATGGCATTCACCAGTTGTTTTATCACAATTGCCTAAAAATAGTTATAGTTTTTTAATTCCAGACATCATGGGATTATAAGCTTTCCAAGTACCCAAAGTTTTTAAGAAGCTGTTAAGCTGCAATGAAAACTGTGATTCTTTAATCCTCAAAAACCACAGGAAAGAACTTTTTTTAAACTAACACCTTTACAACACGCAAGAAGTAACTCTGCTCACATCCTGTCCTTCAGAGATTGTATTTCTCAAGCTTCTTGACAAAGGTTTCCCAGCACACAGGAACTTTCTTATGACCTTTCTGATTCTTTGGCTCTGCTGACTGCATCAAACCAACTCACTTAACCATCCATCACAGACAAAATTTTTAAAACAGAAGCTACCAAGGAGGACCCTTGAGAACTACTGGCAGGGGCAGAAACAAATTTGCTCATTTGCTTGACAGTGGCTGTTTCTGCAACAATATAAACAAGAATAATCTGATCTTAAGGAAAACAGACAGAAGAAGGGTGATCAGCTGCAGAGACAGAGAGAGACAGTCATATTCTGAAGGTAACAGCAGCAGTTCAGCTGTAAATACCCGTGGGACCTGAATTAATCCAAATGTTTGCCCATATCAGGAGAATAACCCAACCTCTACTCGATGGCTCTTGTACATGTGTTAATAAACAAAACTGTCTGGGAACACATACCTCCACGGGTTTTACCCATGCCAAGGAACATGGGATGGCCTGAGCAGGGAGCTTCAAGTAGCACCACCTACAATGCAAAACAAAGTCAGAAGAGCAGAACTTCCTACTCTTCTGGGCTTTAAAATCAGCTTATCAATAGAGGCCCATGCTGGATTTTGCACTTCCCAACAGCAGCTTTGGAAAACACTCACCCAGAGAATGGGCACAGCAGAAATGACAGTAACAACTGGTCCCTTACGTCTTCCCTTGCTCAAGCATCTTCCCATCCCAACCCCTTATGACTACAAAGTTATGGACAGAGAGCAATGACTTTTGAACCAAATCTAATCAAGTATGGATTGGATAAGCAGACAGGGAATCAGACTGATAACTGGCTGAAGAGTCAGACCCAGACAGTGGTGATCAAAGGTACAAAGTCTCATTGGAGGCCAGGAACTAGTGATGTACCCCAGGGGTCAATACTGGGTCCAACATCTTCATTAAGAATCTGAATGATGAGGGAGAGTCCACCTTCAGCAAGTCTGCTGCTGACACAAAACTGGGAGAAGTGATTGATACACCAGAGGGTCATGCTGCCATTCAGAGGGACCTTGACAGGACAAAGAAATGGGTAGACAGGAACTTCATGGAAGTTCAACAAAGTTCTGCACTTGGGGAGGAACAACACCCTGCAGCAGTACGTGTTGGGCCCCAACCCAATACTGGAAAGCAGCATTTTTACCATGAGGGTGACCAAGCACTGGAACAGGTTGCCCAGAATTGCCCAATGGAGTCTCTCTGGAGACATTCAAAACCTGTCTGGACATGGTCCAGGGCAGCCTGCTCTAGATGGCCCTGGGAGGTTGGACAGGATGACCGAGCAGGTCTCTTCCAACCTCAACCCTTCTGTGGTTCTGTCACTCGTGTTTCATTTACTTACTTGAGGAATCTCAGGCAAGACTTTCTGACGATGTCCAGGTTCCCATAATCTGGGTAGAAAACCTCCACTTCTTGGTCACTGACCACACGGTGGATGATCACACGGTACCACCATTTCAAGACAGTCACACAGCAAAGCTGTCCAGGCTGTATTGAAGACTCGGGCATGATGTAACGGTCAGAAACAAGTTTATTTGAGTAACAGTGTCTGCAAAAGATCATAATGAAAAACTGTGCTTGGTAAGATGCAGGAGAGGACAAAAAAGAGAAACACACAGAGCTTCAGAAGAACACTGACTTCTCAAAGTTCCTGGGACATGAATTTTCAGTAGTTGTTTTAACAGATGCTTTACTTCTCTGCTCTGCTACCTGAAACCACAATAAAAATGCAAACCCAAACTTGTAACATCTGAATGGTTATTCTTGGGGGTCCAACAAAGAGCTAATTGATGGGGATTAATTGGAGGCTAAATACAGTAATTAATTTTTAACATTACCTGAACATGTCAGTGCTTCTTATGATGCAGGTATGTGGGTACTGGCTCACAGACACAGTCCCTGTCTGCAGAGACTATAATTGCACTTACATATGCCCCATGGACATCAGCTTGGCAGACACTGCACAGCAATTTTAGCACTGTCATGGTGGAACAGAATCCCAGATACATGATGTAACTGACACAAGTAAAACCACTGATGGGCTTTTGCCCTCAAACAGAGAAATGACCAAGGCCTAATACCTGTTGCTTTTTGAAAAGTGATGGAGATGAAAGTAAAAGCCTTAACTGAGAACATTAGTAACAGCAGTGCAACAACTTTCCATAACTTTTCCTGGCTTTTAGAATTTAAGACTGTCTAGGATGCAGCCAAATAATAATGAATTGCTGTTAACAATACTTTCCTGCTTGCTAGCTAAAAGGAATGGGTAAGCTTTATGAGTACATGTTTCAGTACAGACCTGGCATCTCCATGTCAAGTAATCAAGCCAGCAGTGACCACGACTAAGAGCTGGCTGCTCTGTTGCCTCAGCACAAACACACCCACAACCAGCAGTAGTACTGAGTCAGTACAGCATGTTCCCACCTCATCTCAACCATCATATCCTGCAGTTGGTCAGAATTTTCCCTGCTGCAGATGCGGACGTAGAACTGGCTGGGAGAGACGACAAATTCCACAAAGACTCCCACCAAGCACCTTCTCTCCAGTGGTGGTAAACTGCAAAGGCTTCTGTCCTGAACAGCATCGAGGGGGATTTCTGGAGCCATCAACTTGGCTAGTAAGGATGGTTCCAAATCTTGAGGCTACAAAGGGATAAGAGGAAGGTGGCACTCAGATGTTCTGTCCACACACGTGAATGGCCTTCCCATCAAGGTAAAAAAAAATAGTTCTGCCTTCCTGGGGGACCTGTGAATTACTGAATATCACAGAATCCAAAGAAATTGCACAAACTTGGATTATAAGTTTCCCTGTGATAGAAACATTCATTTTCACACTCTCTCTTCCTTCCTTCTTTCTTCCCTCCATTGTAAAGAGGAGTGCAATAAAAATACCCGACTGATACTCCTGCGAGGAATAAAGGAGAGGTTCTGAAGTCATGTCACATATTTAGACAAAAGTATTGAATGGCTACTCCTAAAAAAGCAGAACAAAACAAAAACACACACCAAAGAAATCAAACCAAACACGACCCACCTGTTTGTTGGGTTTTACCCTAAAAAGGCCAGTTAGGTGACCACCGAAGGGTACAGCAAAACTTACGCTGAAAATGATTTGAAAGTGACAGAAGGCACAAATGCATTTCTCATTCACACTAGAGCTATTTCCCAAGCATATAAACAAAAAAACCCTACAAATTCTGTTATTTTCTCACTCTTTGACAAATTTGTATGCAAGTTGTTAGCACAGCTTAAGATTTTGTGTTACTCCTCAACTGCTGAAAACACCATTTCACTTGATCTAGTGTGGATAGGAGCCTTAATCAGACATCAGCTACTTTCACTGGCAACAAACACTCTTCCCATGATAAGAAGTCCAAATTATTTCAGTTTTACTCATCATGAATATACTACAAGTTATCACTGCATTATACCTCAGGCAACGTATGGGAAATTGGTCTTCCAGGACACACCCCACATTGCTAATCTGGCTAACTTCAACTGCAAGCTATGGGTTTTTGCAATCCTGTCTCTTTAAACCATTTTTAAAAAAAGCAGATAGTCTACTTAGTCTGCAGAAGGAGACACTAAGTTTTTTAGCCAAAAATTCTGATCGAAACATTGACTTAAACAGTGAGTTAAAATTTTTGAGCTCAAGACCAACTGAGAGGCTTGCTCCCTGAGCAGTAGCATCAGCTCTAGAAAAAAAAACATATTTCACCCTTCTATGTCTTCTAAGAAGCACCTGTCAATAGTGGCATTTATAAGGGAAAGTTTTGCTCCAAGAATGCTTTTCATATCAGACTCTTATAGACACACATGATCTTTATATTCTAGCTCAAACATTGGTAGGAACAAAACACATTTCTGTGAAAGACACAGAAGACAGGAACTTAGAAACACACTTAAAACAAAACAACATTACAAAAAGACCAATCAACAGAACATACTGTAAAACCAGGCTTACAAGAGGTATGGCTTGCAAGACTGGCTAATTCCTTGCCCTAAGATGGACTGGCAGCTGCCAAGAATGGTGTGGGTGACACCTTCCCTTCCTTTGGCTCAGGGTGGTGAGAAAAAAGCTGCTAAGATCAGCACCTCTAAATACTTCATCCTCCTCAGTGCTGAGCAGATGGAGAACAAGGGCTGAGTCAATCTGCCCCTTACAACACTTCCATTATGAGTCTCTCATGACCAGATCCTTGGATATCTTGCAGCAGGGTGGGGATCAGGTCACTGTTCCCCCACACCTCACAGCATCCTGATGAACAAGCGTTCATTGCAGACAGGAAACAACACATTCCAATCTGTTTTCCTCCCAGTTAGGGAATTTTAAAAATAAAATGGCAAATGTGGTGTTTCACAAGGAATACTAGTTGCACAAACACCTTCCAAGACTTACCCTGTCAGGGTCTTTAAACCTGATCCCTTTGTGATACACAAACTTGACCTGGATTACCAGGACCACATCCCCCCTACAAGCAGACTGTGATCTAGGGCCTGTGAACTTCATCACACCAAACTGAAATTTGTTTAAAGGACCAGAAGAGCCTGCCAAAAATCTCTACAGCATTAAGTTTTATAAAGCACAGCCCAAAGTCTGACTTCTAGTGCCAGGCTTCCAAGTCCATGAGTGCATAAACCACCAAACTGAGGAAGAATTCCTGGGACCCCTTCCCTGCCAATGTGCTCCAACTGTATAGTTCCACCACAAGATGAGCTTGGCAGAGGAAATAACTCTCAGTAGGAGTATTTTCCTGAGAAAAGGAAGACCTAAAGATGCTTAAAAGAAAAATAACAGAGGGGACACAAACAAATTCTCCCCATCAG